AGGGCAAAACTTCCTTATTGATACAAACAATATTCCTGTCACAATTGACTCATTGCTGTGTATGGCCTCTGGTTTTCTAGCAAATCAAGCAAACAGATGTTAGGCAAACGCTTGGGAGAGAGAGGCAGAAACCCCTCCCTCGGCACATTTAGAGTTTCCCCAAGGTCTCCCAGAAGTAACACCTCCAGCTCGTGTGTGTCCTTCCTCCCAGCACCCTGGTCCGGGGACCCTGCCCGCTCAGGAGGTGAGTGGGATGTGGTGGGTGAAGAAACAGGATGCATTAGAGACCACCTCGCCCAGCTGAGAGACGCTAGAAAAATCCAGAGGCCAGAAGGCAGCCAGCTGCACAGACACCGAGAGACAGGGAACAATTGAAGCCATCCTTTCTCCGCCCACTGGCTGCGGCGTTTCCTTCCAGCTCCCTTAGAATTACCTCGGGGACCTGCCGCTCTCCCGTAAGAGCCCGCCACGCTGCCCACCTGAACCGAGACCCTCTCCACACTGCTCCCACGTGCAGAAGGCGCATTGAGAGAGGAAGCCAGGCGTTACTGTTCACACTTGCTGCTCAGGAACTGAACCGCCTGGACGGGGCTCCTGCTATGGAGAAACCAGGAGACCTGCCTGGGGACCCCGCTGGGGGGCGCTGAGCAGCCACACACCCGCCCACTGACGGGCTCAGGAGAGCTGGCACCTCCCATCCCTGAGGCCGGGTTTCTCTATAACCATCCAGAGGCCTAGCACGTCATCCCTGAGTAATGTGAGGTCTTCGGGGCTCTCAGAGGGAGGTACGGGCAGGAAGGAGTGCCTAGATCTGAGAGAGCCAGAGATCTAGGACTCGTCTCTCAGTGCAAGGAAGGCAGCCTTCCTGACACCGGCATGTTTCTGCTCTGTTAGCATCTGCTGGAGATCAAGTCCATCTACTGGGGATCAAGTCCATAACCCGGGCATGTGCCCTGCCCGGGAATCGAACCGTGACCTCCTGGTTCACAGGTGGACACTCAACCACTGAGCCACACCGGCCGGGCATCAATTACATTTGTGTTAATTTGTTAGAATAGCGGTAGACCATCGTTGTCGGTAATTTAAAAATGCCAAAATTTCCAATACTACCAGAAGATGTAGTATACTAAGATGAACGTTTACAAACTTATCAAACATTTGAAAAACACTGATTGTAGTTAACTTCTTGACTAATTAATAACATGTACCGTATTTTCCGGCGTATAAGACGACCTTTGAAACTAGTAAAAAGCCTGCTCAGATTGGCCAGAGTCAGAGAGGCGGTCTGTTAAAAAAAGAACTGGTGTTGCCTTGGAAGTGGGGGGTCGTCTTATACAGCGAATATAGGCCCAAACCTATGTTTTAGCTGTAAAATTAGGGGGGCGTCTTATACGCCGGAAAATACGTATTCTTTTCTTTTACATGACACAATCTGAAAACCTCCCCCCTCTCCCCCCAGTCCTGGGTGCGTGGGTGCAGGGCGAGGCTCTGGGGAACCCCTCCCCCTGCTCCTCCAGCCCCATCACTACTCCTCCTCCTCCAGCCCCATCACTACTCCTCCTCCAGCCCTATCACTAATGGGCAGAGCGACCTGGGGCAGGCCAGGGTCATTGCTCTCTGAGTCCGTTTGGTATTTGCAAGTAGACTTGTTGATCTCTGTGGTCTCTTTTATTTAAAAAACGGCATAAAGTAGTTTTAGGAATAAAGATGGAATATTTAGGGCGCTGGATGTAACCAATCCATCAGAAAACCAGAAAAATACGTTGCCAATCAGATTGCAGACTTTTTAAAGGAGAATAGCCAGGGCTGTAGGACGGATGTGCAGACTGGAACAGCAGGGCTATTTTGGTCAAAGGCACCAAATGAGTGCGTGTGTGCCTTCTGAGTCCGCCTTTTGCTGAAATCAGTGGACACTGGGAATTAAGGGAGGCCAGGGGGATGTTTCACCGGAGGAGGGAGCAAACCCTTTCCCATTTGTCTAAAAGGATTTAAGGCAGGTCAGCAATGGAGCCAGACCCTGGTGCCCTGGCCCTGGGAATGGATCCCAATTCGCTCGCTCCGGGGGCGGAGTGTCTAGACCCTAGCAGAGACTCCAGTCCTGGTGCTGCTGCTCTTCTGTCAGTGAGGCTCATCCCCTCATACCCGCCGCTGGATACTCCAGTCCTGGTGGTGCTGCTCTTCTGTCAGTGAGGCTCATCCCCTCACACCCGCCGCTGGATACTCCAGTCCTGGTGCTGCTGCTCTTCTGGCAATGAGCCTGTGTGAGGCTCATCCCCTCACACCCGCCACCCACACGCTCTGCTCAGTGCGTGGAGCTCAGCAAGCATTTCTCTCCGAGGAGGAGGGGAGGGAAGACTCCTCTGGATGACTGTTCACTCATCGGAGAGGAGCCGGGACCCACGTCAGGAGAGGGTACTCTGCACAGCCAGCGGCAGGCAGACTCGCTCAGGGTCACACTGACTGTCACTGGGGGCCACACGCATGGCCTCTCGTGAGGGACGCTGTGCGGATGCTGGGGGGGCTGGGGTGGAGGTCGGCTGCGTTTGATTTGGCTGCATGGTCTTCGTCAGTGTGTGTGTATGTGGTGTGTGTGTGTGTGTGTGTGGTGTATATATGTGTGTGTAGGGGGGTGTGTGTGTGGTATGTGTGTGGTGTATGGTATGTGAGTGTTTGGTGTGGGTGTGGGTGTGTGGTGTGTGTGTTTGGTGTGTGTGTGTGTGTGTTTGGTGTATGTGTGGTGAGTGTTATGTCTGTGTGGTATGTGGTGTGTAAGTGGTGTGTGTGTATGTGTGTGTGTGAGTATGTGTGTGTGTGTACACAAAGTAACACAGGCGCCTGCACAGAGAGCCTCCCCCAGGCTGTGTCCCCTCCAGCAGCCGCCCGCACCTCCTGTCTGAGGTGAAAGCCCACGTTTCTGGCAGCGGGTCCCTGTCAGAGGGCTCCGGTGCCGGTGAAAGGGCCAGCGTTTTAATGGCGCTGCTATTCTCCTCATTAGCGTCCGCTTACAAAGTTGCGTGAGCCCTCCTGCTGCGAGCATGAATTTGCAGTCTGAAAGGTTTCCGAGAATTGCACGTATAATAATATGGAAGAAATGCTCCACATAGTCTGAATAATGCAACGATGTCCCAGGATAATTTAAAATATAAATTGTCATAATATCTTGTTTCCAAAGATTACTTACATACCAACGAAATGTGTTCTTTATATCAATTTGTATTTTATACATTTTATATTTAGCCATAAATTCAATGTTTAGTCATGCATTCCTGGATTAGTCACACATTTCTTAGACAGGACATGCTAATGCAGTGCTGAAAATTCTCTAAGTTAAAACCAGGCTCATGTACTTTGTAAAAAAAGCAAGTAGTCCCTGTTTTTTGACGTGAATTAAATATATATATGAACACTAATCAAACCAATGTCAATCTTTTCCAATGAAGCAGTCCCTGAAATATGTGAACATATAAAGCCATGCAAAAAAGCCAGCACTTTTGCTCACAAAACTAGATACTTTAAAGGGTATCTTTTTAAATATATTTTTATTGATCTCAGAGAGAAGGGAAGAAGAGAGAGAGAAGCATCCACAATGAGAGAGAATTATGGATCAGCTGCCTCCTGCACGCCCACACTGGGGATCAAGCCCGCAACCTGGGCCTGTGCCCTGACCGGGAATCGAACTGTGACCTCCTGGTTCATAGGTCGATGCTCAACCTCTGAGCCACGCGGCCGGGCTAACCGGTACCTTTTATGGTATTACATCATGCTAAAGAGTGTTGAAAGCCACACTCACTACTTAATTATCTGTTGTTAAATAATATAATGCCCATTACTAAGCATTCTTCCAAGCAGCTCCTGCTAGCAACAAGCATGATGAAGGAAAATCTGTTATTTGCACAAGGCAGAAACAGCCATAATTAACTCATTAGAATACAGTTCAACCAGAGAAGCTCGTTCATCACACCAGCCTCAGTTGGAATGCACTGTTCCTGGAATTGATTTGTATAATAAATACCCACCGCTTTACTGTTCACAGAAGAGCAGTCTCATGTCTCCTTCCCCTCCGCCGGCGATGAGAAGCCGGTGACTTTATGAGCCCTGCCACCCTGGACTCCCAGGAGCCATGTTCCCCCATCACCTGTTCAAATCCCCTTGTTAGAGACATCTCACCCGCCCAGCGGTGCGGGGTCAGGTGTGACACCCCGTGCGGAGCCAGGTCTGACACCCCGTTTGGGGCCGGGGTGACACCCTGTGCCGCTCACACACAGGTCCACGCCTTCCCTTCCCGGGACGGAGGGAGGGAAGGAAGCCCCTGGCCGCTGTCCTCCTTCCGCAGGGAAACAGCGCCACCTTTTGGTCCCACGCAAAAGCCTCCGCTGCGGCCTCCGGGACTCCTTTTCCAGCTAAATCCCCACAGGCCTGCTGCTGACCTTCCGCCGCTGACCTTCCGCCACTGACCTCCCGCCACTGACCTCCCGCCACTAACCTTACCAACACTGACCTTCCCGCCACTGACCTCCCGCCGCTGACCTCCCGCCACTGACCTTCCCAACACTGACCTCCCGCCACTGACCTTCCCAACACTGACCTCCTGCCACTGACCTTCCCAACACTGACCTCCCGCCGCTGACCTCCCGCCGCTGACCTCCCGCCACTGACCTCCCACCGCTGACCTTCCCGCCACTGACCTCCCACCACACGTCCTGTCCTGGAAAGGCCTGTCCCTGCGCACATGATGGAAACGGGCGCAGCAGAATGTTTCAGTAACTCAAACACACACCAGGCACAGGCACGCTAAGTCTCCGATATAACCACCGCCAACCCACACGTCATTAGACGCGTTTACCAAACCCGGCAGGCCAGCCGCGGGTGCGTTTTAAATGAGAGAGAAAAGCCCTTTCAGGGCCCGGCCCCATTCCAGGACGGACCTTCCAGACCCCCCGTATCCCCGGCGCCCACCGATCGAGGCTGGCGGCCCGGCCCCCGGCCCGGCGGGTACTCACACCAGCGACACAATGTCCCCGCGGCGCACCTCCAGGTTCCGCACCTTCCAGTGGTTCAGCAGCACCACGTCCGACGACTGGCTGCCTCCGGGGTTCAGCGAGGGCTGGAGACGGGAGAGAGCCGTCATTGGAGCCCCGGCCCGCGGCTCCCGCACGTCCGACTCTGTGCGGCGAGCCCTGGCCGGTGTGGCTCAGGGGACAGAGCGGGGCCTGTGGACTCAGGGGTCCTGGGTTCGATTCTGGTCAAGGGCATGTACATTGGTTGCGGGCACATCCCTGGTAGGGGGTGGGCAGGAGGTAGCTGGTCGATGTTTCTAACTCTCTATCCCTCTCCCTTCCTCTCTGTAAAAAAAAAAAAAAAAAAAAAAAAAATCAATAAAATATATTTTTTTAAAAGAAAAGAAAGAAAACATCCCTAGCACAGCGGCCGTCGGCACAGCGCTGCTCTCACACAGCTGCGAACGATGGTTTCCAGAAGGCTCGTCGGGATTCGTCCCGGGGAGCCAGGAGGAAATCACCTCCCCACAGGGCCTGGGAAGGGGTGTGGGAGCTCCAGGGTCTCCTGGAGAAGGGGGGGGGAAGCCTGCTGGAGGGCAGGAGAGGGGCGGGAGGAGGAAGAGGGTCCGCCCCCGAGGGCAGATCCAGGCGGGAGCTAGGCCCCCCCGCGGCCGCAGCACTGCTCCTGGGAGAAGCGTGGCCTCAGACGGACCATGCCCCGCGGGGACACGGGGACACGGGGACGCGGGGAGGGCAGCACAGGCACGCAGGGAACCTCCCCAGGGAGCCTCCCCAGGGACTCCTCGGGGCTCTCTGCCCTCAGGAGGGGGAGCACCCACTTCCGGCGGGGGAGGTGCCAACCCTCCACCGAGGCGCTCCCTTCGCCAACGGTGGCAGCGGGAGAGGACGGCACACCAAGGGCACCAGGCTGGACGCCAGGAAGACCTGTCCCCGGGCAGAGTGCCCGTCTCTGTCCTGATGACTCCCAGATCAGCAGCAGAGTTTCTACAAAGCAGATGGGGCACCACGAGAAATTCGGGGTGTGGGGAGGGGATCATCACCACCGTGTGTCTGACCCCCCGTTTTCCGTGTCCACCTCAAAGGCAACTTCTGTCCTTGAGTTTTAGATCTCGTTGATCTACTGCACTATTTATTGGCTTGATTTATATTTAAGGAAAAGTAGAGCTGGAAAGAGCCTTTGAAATCATTCAGTCCATCTACCTATTTTAGAAACCAATCACATAAAAATGTGCAACGTAGTCAACAGATTTTGTTAAACTACTGCTTATGTCTAAGAATATGATGCTTCTGAGGGAATATGTGACTCTGAAATATTACTTGTGTCTTTGAAATTACAACCTAATTGATCTTTCTGAAAACATTTTTTTTTTCATTTCCTACCAAAAAATAAGTTTTCTTTCTTATTTTGTCACATTCTATTTACCATCTTCCCAGTCAACCAGCTGAAAATCTTGGTTACTGTTTTTACTTCATAGCCAACCAGTCACAAAGTTAAAAGGTTGTTTTTTATTTATAACTTCTTTCACAAAACAATGACCTCTACTACCTACACACCGATATTTCCTGTTCTCTGCTAATGTGGTTTTTTTTTTTATTCTATCTATAAGCAACTTATTAATGTCCCAACCACTATGCTGATTTCACAACCTAGTAAGTTGCAGTCCAGAGTGCCAAACCCATCGTCTTAGAGGACTCTTCTTCAACCCCTGTCCTCTGGACGTTGCTTTCTTGCCCCAGAATTCTAGCATCAGTTTATTCATCTCTGTCTTTTAGACTCTTTTCCTGGAAAACCTCATCAATATTCTCAATGGCAAATACCACCCATGTCCCACCGGCTCCCCAGTCAGCACCTGGAGGACTTGCTGGATCTTAAAAAGGAAACTGAGGGTTTCCCCTTCCTCTCCGCCACGAGGTGAACTGAACCCCCCACCCCATTCCCCGCCCCTAAAACCTGCCCGTGGGGATCCGCCTACACTGGCCTCTTCACTCAACTGGCTGCTTCCCGCAGGCAGAAATCACGTCTGACCATTTCTGTCCGCCCAGGAGCGGGGCTGGGAAATAGTCCTGCTACCCTGTACAGTCTGGAGGAGGAAAGGTTCTTGAAAAGCACCTCAAATCAGAGGGTCTGTCAGCGCTGCACGTGATGCAGACAACGTGTCCGTCCCTTTAATGAAAACTCATTTGGGAGATGTCCGTCAGAAATCTTAGGTTTCGCATCAGGTTGGGCCATTGGAGGACCGGGAGTGAAGCTGAGCAGGGCTCTCTATGGCTCACGGGGAAGGGACATGAGTCACAGAATGTCCTCTTACTGCTCACCGCTGAACACGTACCATGAAGGAAGCTTTCTTGAATTGGAAAACTAGTCCTCAGCACCACAGACCTACAGTTCTTTGCACTTCAATTAAACAATTTAGGAAGAAAAAAAAACACTTCATTTCCTGTCTTTCCGAAGCCAACTTTTGAGAAGAGGCTGTGCTAACTGCCAAATGAGAGATTTACGGGCAGAATTAAGAAGACATCGTTTGCACGGTGCCGTTTGGGAAAATGAATAAACCCTGTTATTACTTGGAAATTGTGCCTCCCGCTTCCCCGTGTGGGATGGCAGCTGATGCTTCGGACAGAGCGAGCAATCTTCCCAAACCAAAGACGCGCTAAGCAGGCAATCTGCACTGACAAGCACCAGCACTGGGGACCGGGGCAGCCGCAGAGCCCTCCCTCTCCTGGTGCGTTGTCAACGCTTCCTTCCTACATTCCCAGAGGCGACATCAAAACCACGGCCGCTTACATAATCAAGTCTGGAAGTCACGAAACTCAGAGAGCACGGAATCTCGGAGTTTCTACCCGTATTTCAAAATGCAAGGCTGAGCTGAGTGCGCCTGCTGGAGGTCAAGGCGGTTCCCAGGAGCGATTAGAAAAAGACAAAATCACGGGCGTGGCCAACAAAGAACCCCCTCCCCACCCCAGGCTGGCAGATGCTCTGCCCTCTTCTCCCCATGACTCTATCCTCGAAATCTGCCCCTCTGCTTCCGCCGGGCAGCACTCAGGGTAGAACCCAACGCAGAGCCCGGCCACGTGGCTCAGGGGTTGAGCATCAACCTAGGAACCAGGAGGTCAGGGTTCAATTCCCGGTCAAGGCACAGGCCCGGGTTGCAGGCTCGATCCCCAGGAGGGGGCGTGCAGGAGGCAGCCAATTAATGATTCTTTCTCATCATGGATGTTTCTATCTCTCTATCCCTCTCTTTTCCTCTCTGAAATCAATAATAATATATTTTAATAAAAAATTTAAAAATCTAACTTCTGATCTTCAGTTGATAAATTATTCTTGTTTTCTTCCTTTTGGGGAGGGGAATTTTAAGTGATATAAAAAGGAGGTGATTGTATGCTTTTCTCTGACCTAGTATTATATTGTTCACACTAAGCAAGTCAGGAGATGTCTACAGATATTAATAAGTTATGCTAAAGCTAGAAATAGATATGGAGCCTGCTTCTGAAACAGCGCAGACGGATTGGGACTTCATGCTATCTCCAATCCCAGACTCTGCAGAAGGTGCCTTACTCCTCCTATAAACAAACACTATTGTTGGGGCACCCTAAATTCTCAGCTGTGTCTGAGTTGAAATCATTCGGCTGGATGTGTGGTGTGGTGTTTAGAAAAATAAAACTATGTCTCAGTTTAGAAAAATAAAACTTCCCTAGAGAATTAAACAGACTTAATGGATGCTTTACCTTGTAAGATTTATCCCAGCCATCAATCGGTAAGTGATACTATTCTACTAGCTTTGATTTTCTATAAATTTCGTATTAATGTTTTCTCTTGTTCGTTTTTTAATTTAAAAGTTCATAGCCACCCTAGCTGGTTTGTCTCGGTGGATAGCACATCGGCCAGCAAACTGAAAGGTCCCTGGTTCAATTCCAGTCAAGGGCACACAGCCGGGTTGCGGGCTGGATCCCCAGTAGGGGGTGTGGAGGAGACAGCTGATCAATGATTCTCTCTCATCGCTGATGTTTCTATATCTCTTTCCCTTTCCTTTCCTCTCTCTGAAATCAATTACACACACACACACACACACACACACACACACACACTGAGTGGCCATATTATGATGATATCTGAATGCATAATAATCTGGCCACTCAGTGTATATCCTATAGAATACAAGGCTAATATGCAAATTGTCCCCTCAACCAGGAGTTTGATCAGCAGACAGGCCATCCAACCACCCATGTCCCCTCCCCCTGGCCAGGCTGGCCAGATCCCAACCATGCACGAATTCATGCACTGGGCCTCTAAAATATATACATATATACACATGTATGTGTGTGTGTGTGTGTGTGTGTGTGTGTGTGTGTGTGTGAGTGTGTGTGTGTGTGTGTGTGGAGAGAGAGTGTGTGTGTGTGTGTGTGTGTGTGTGTGTGTGTGTAGTTCACAGCCTACAGTTTGCTACCCAGAGCCTACTGTCATGAGCTGGTTCTCCTCACTCCTTTGGGAGCAATTCTCTCAAGTGTCTCACATATAAAGAGCACCTGCCATGCCAGCCATGCCCAGACACAATCCACGATGTTTCCCTTAAATTGTGTGCTTCTCAGCGAGCTGGTTGCCAAAGGCTGCCCGATAGCCCTCAGCCTCCTTTGGAAGAGCCAGGAAGGGGGGGGGGGGAGGTGCTAGTGGTTACAGAGTAAGAGGAGACACTGGACAGTCCTCCTATCTGTGTCAGACCTCGCCCTGCAGCACTGGCCGGGAGGCACAAAGCACAGCTGACGAAGTGTGTCCTCCGATTACAGACACATTCTCGCGATCGGATGCCGCGCTTTGGAAGGCTCGCGGTAAAACGATCTAAAACACCATCGCCCTCCCTTGCTGTCGAGGTCTCCGCTGTGGGCGCAGCCTCTGGGGAGCCTCTGGGGAGCACGATCAGATGGACGGCAGCTGCACCCACGTCTGCACGCAGCTCTGAGCTGGCCACGGAGCATCCCTCCGTAACGGTGCTCATTGCCCTGCCCCCTGCACCCTGGATCCCTCACAACAACCACCATCTGACGCAAAACTTCCTCAGCCTCGCAAGGTGATTAAGCCCTGGGGTCACGCACACATTCCACTGGGGTGCTGGGAGGGGGGATTCAAACCACAGAGCCCTCTGGGAAATTTATGCCTATTAAGTCCCAGGTCCATCTGGCACTCCAAGAGTAAGAGTGCGATAATGGGCCCTCACACCTGCTCCAGCTCCAGGGCTCCCCACGGAGCACCTGGCCTCACCCGACCTCACCGTCACATTCCCTTTAGGAGCGCATCTTCCTGGAGTCACCCCAGCTCTGTCCTGGCCGGGTCACCCCCACCGACCAGACAGCCCGGCAGCCCCCACCTGCCCCCGGGGAGACCAGGCAGGGTCCGCGGAGCCGGAACAGAGACACGGACTCTCCGCACATCCAGTGAGAGGGCAGCGGAGACTAAGGGTCCCCCACCCCAGGCAGCCCTGCAGCTGTGAGAACTCATCCCTGCTCTCCCCCACGCACCCCTCCGTCCTGGGAAACACACTGAACTCCGCTTCCCAACGGGATTCTCCCCCCTGAAAACCCCAATGGGGATCTGACCACCTTTTCCTCGGAGGGCGGAGGGCTTTTCTTAAGAAATGAGCTTTACCGAAACCGGTTTGGCTCATTGGATAGAGCTTCGGCCTGCAAACAAAAGGGTCCCGGGTTCGATTCCGATCAAGGGCATGTGCCTTGGTTGCAGGCACATCCCCAGTGGGGGGTGTGCAGGAGGCAGCCAATCGATGATTCTCCTTCATCGATGCTTCTAACTCTCTATCCCTCTCTCTTCCTCTCTGTAAAAATCAATAAAATATATATATTTTTTTTTTAAAGAAAGAGCTTTGCTCATTGGTGAGGAGGGGGGGAGGCTGATAACATCAACAATGAGAAACACACAGAGAGAAAAGCTGGAGGAGTGGATGAGAGGCCAAACACCAGCCTCACAGGTCCCATCGGCGGCACCTGACAGCGCTAGCTCTGTGTTAATACTTGCACTTATTACAGCTTCATTGTGTGTTTTTAATAAATAATGACTTTCACGTGGTCGCAGTACAACCATCAGACTCAACAGTGTTAACAAGAATTCGCAATAAAGCCCATGTTCCCTCTTTAAAAAATAAAGTTAAAAAATAAACTTTGTTCTAATCTCATCCCCGTAGTTACAGACTTACAGTTTTCTTCCTCCTTTTGGCATTTCTGCATGAACTTTCATTCACATAAAAATAAGCTGTATGTTTAGATACTAAATTCCTTCATTTTTCTTTGAAAAGCAAGTCTTTCAAGCTGTGTGAATAACCATTTTCAATGGACCTCTACCCTATCAGTTTAAATTCAAAGTCCAGTGAGTCGCTAATTTTTCATCCTCCTAATCTTTAATTGTATTCCCTGTGTGCCGTGGAGTTTTACGCCCACGCTCATGGACTGCTGTACAAATAAAAATCCGTATAAACTATTTAAGAGGTAATTTACCTAAATGTCTCAAAGGCCTTTAAAACGGGCTCTCCTTAGAGCTGGAAGTATCCTATTTAGAAAGTTATCCTAAGGAAATAATTTAAAAAGTGTGTAAAGATGGTCATCATATAACATTTATCACAGGCAAATAGTTGAGTCAACCTGAATAGCAATCATAGGAAGCAGATTAAATTAGCCATGGTTAAACCATGTGACCTGTGGGTAGTAAAAGCCACTCTAAAAAACAAAATACACTGATGAGCAAAATGGCCCCAGAGACATAGAGGCATGGAACAGACTGTCAGCCCTCAGAGGGAAGGCGGGGGTGGGTAGATGGCAGAGAAAAAATTAACCCAACAACGTGTACACATATGTGCACAACCCCTGGGCTCAGACAGCAGGGCGGGAGGGCCTGGGCAGGGCAGACTGGAGAAGGGTGGGGGGGGGAACACATATGTAATGCTTTCAACAATATTTAAAAACACATTTTCGGGAGAAAACCACATTGCAGAACATAGTTAAGGATATTTTCCCCAGGCACCTTGGAAATCCAAACCGGCAGGGAGCATCCCCCTCCGGGTTCCACGTGAAATTCTGGCGCGTTAAGACACGCTACGTCCCTTTTCTTGGGAGTTCCATTTGCATCGAGCGCCTCGGAATGGAGAGAAACAGTTACGGTCCATAATAACCGTTGAACATTAAGCCCGCGGAGGACTCAGTGTTTGAATAGAATGCCATAAATAAATGTGACACAGAGAGGGTGCGCGAGTCTCTGTGCTTCTCGGACAGCACATCTCATTTCAAACGCCGCGGGAAGTGAGAGTGGCTGGAGCCAGGTGGGAGCCTGAGAGTTCATTGCCAAGCGGGTCCTCCGGGGTCACGGGCAGGCGGGTGGGAACCGGTGGACTCACGCTGCGGATGAATCAAGAGGAAGCCCTGCCTCCTCCCGTTTCTGACTCCCTCTCGCACTCTCAGGCCGGCCCTGAAGCCGAGCAGAGGCGGCTGTGCGGCCTGTCTCAGCAGAGCCCCTGGCTGGCAGGGGAGGGGGGCACAGTGCGGTACAGGCCATGCAGCACTCGGGCTGTGTGCTCCCGCGAGCCCCTCCTGCTGGGAAGTCCGCGATGGTGATGGCCGAGGCCGCAGGGACCCGCTGCGGGCACTCACTCAAACCAAGTCCCAAGGCCGGGCGATTCCAAAAGCCAGCCCCGCGCCTGGCCACTCTGACAGCCCGCAGCCTGGAGCTGGAGCCGCCCGGGGAATAACTGCACCCCGCCCCTCACTCACACCCCTTCTGCGCTGTCCTCTCCAGTTCCTGAGTTAACCTCAGGCTGTGCAACGTGGTGGTTCCTTTAAAAAAGCAAAGGCCCGTGCCCAGGGCCAGTCAGCAGCCAGTGGACAGGCAGGAGGCCTGGGGGCAGGGCGGGCGCGTGGACAGTCATTAACCGGCAGCTCCTGGGGGCCCCGCGTGGCCCGACCGCCCAGTGGGCCTGCCCGCGCTGCTGTCTTACAAAAGGGAATGTTGAACAATTCCTACTTCCTGCTGAATGACGCCTTAAAACACCTGTTTTCAAGTCTGACCTCCCTCCAAGGCGCTGCCACTGCCCACACTGATCCTCCAGCAGACTCCGCCCGGACCCTAACCGATCCTGGAACCTGAGCTACAGAAAGGGCACCGGCGGAGGCGGAGGCAGGAGGCTGCTCCGCACAGATGGGGCCACGTCACCGGCCACGGGACCTTCCACACAGCCCTCCCGGTCCCGCCTCCTCCTCACGGGGCTCTGGGCCTCTCCTGCAACCCCTCCCGGTGTCACCTCAGCACCCAACTCCTCTGGTCTCTCCTTTCCTCCCCGTCTCCCGGCATCTCGTCCCGGCTTCTGCTGGCCTGCTGCCCTTCCCCCTTCAAACCGCGGAGAGAAGATGCCCCAGGCATAGCGGCCTCCTGCCCTCCTGCCCTCCCCCACTCCCCATCTCCCCACTCCCTTCCTGCCCCCCCACTCTCCATCCCTCCACTCCCCTCCTGCCCTCCTGCCCCCCCCACTCCCCATCTCCCCACTCCCCTCCTGCCCTCCTGCCCCCCCACTCCCCATCTCCCCACTCCCTTCCTGCCCCCCCACTCTCCATCCCTCCACTCCCCTCCTGCCCTCCCCCCCCATTCCCCATCTCCCCACTCCCCTCCTGCCCTCCTGCCCCCCCACTCCCCATCTCCCTACTTCCCTCCTGCCCTCCTGCCCCCCCATTCCCCATCTCCCCACTCCCCTCCTGCCCTCCTGCCCTCCCCCACCCACTCTCCATCCCTCCACTCCCCTCCTGCCCTCCTGCCCCCCCCACTCCCCATCTCCCCACTCCCTTCCTGCCCCCCCCACTCTCGATCCCTCCACTCCCCTCCTGCCCTCCTGCCCCCCCACTCCCCATCTCCCCACTTCCCTCCTGCCCTCCTGCCCCCCCATTCCCCATCTCCCCACTCCCCTCCTGCCCTCCTGCCCTCCCCCACCCACTCTCCATCCCTCCACTCCCCTCCTGCCCTCCTGCCCCCCCATTCCCCAGTGGAACAGACCAACAGCTCCCACCCTGCAGGAACTGCAGAGGCCTCCAGAGACCTCCACGCTGCCAGCCCGTCTAGAACTCACATCCTTAGATGAATGTGAGGACGAGGCTTTTTCCAACATTCTGCGGAACCCCGAGTCTAAAGCACGTTCCGCTCATCAAAGCTGCGCAGCGGAAAGATGTCCCCCACCATGCCGCATTCATCACTAACCGCCCTCCCCGCTGCAGTTTCCCCTCCTGCTCCCCCATCACATTGCCTTTATTACCGGCCACCCCTGCACTGGCCCGGCCGGCATGGCTCAGTGGGTGAGCACTGACCTATGAACCTCTGGGTAACACGGCTCAACGGAGTGACCACTCTGACCCGTGCCCAGCCCGCATCTGCATGAATAATTTGGTCTGAAAGAGATATTTAAGTATAGATTCAGATATAAATAACTGAAATGGCTTAAAACCCCAAGCCAGATCCACAAAATATGGCGTCATTCAGTAAAATGTCTCTAGACTCTCCTTTACGCCCTGGCCGGGGCTCAGCTGGATGGAGCATTCTCCTCCGGGGCACCGACAGGCGGTGGGTTCAGTTCCCAGTCATGGCACACATCTCTCTCTCTCTCTCTCTCTCTCTCTCTCTCTCTCTCTCTCTCTCTTCCTGTCTCAAATCAATAAACTATCCAGGGGTGAGGGGAGATTAAAAAAAAAACTTATTTAGAATCTCCATTTACAATTCCTAAAGAGCTATATAGATAGGTAGACAGATACAGATAACAATCCAGTAATTATTTCTCTTTGCCTCTCCTCGGATTGTGACTTACGCTGGAAAACCTTACTTAAAAAGTCAGGGAAGTTAACCCTCACTTCAAGGTCTTCCTAAGCCTCTCTGTCCCAGCCCAGAAGTGGCCCGGAGAAGCCGGTCCCGGGTGCGTGAGGGAGTTATGGCGCGTGTGCGGTGAGGAAGGGTCGTCAGTCACCTGCATGGATGCTCCCTCCACTCGCGCCACGCAGGCCACCCGGTCGAGGAAGGTCACGGCCACGGGCACCGCCACAAAGAAGCCTTTGCAGAAGGCCTTGATGTACCGCCTCGCCCAGCCTTGCGCCGGCGCCATACCTGCCAACACAGGGAAAAACAAGCGTGAAATGAAGTATCCAGCAAGCATCAAAAGCGGTGAAAAAGAAAGACGCAAAAAACAGCCCCAGAAAAAATACGATTTTAAGGAGAAGCCACCTGAGCCCCATTTAGTTCACACACAGTCCCCATAACCACTGGAATAAACGGGACTTAAAATCCCAGAGGGTAGCGCATTCACTCTGGGTAACTCTTGTCAGTAGCTCAAATCCACTTGGCAATGTCAGTGGGAAATGCTTCCTCACAAGCAGTAGGGTGGAGGGGAGCATTCCAAAAGTGAACCCTTTCCTGTGGCTGAGGATTCCGATGAGAGGCTGCTCGTACCCCGACCTGCTCTCTTCCACGTAATGGCAGTGTCAATGAGACACCTCGGTGGCTGCCCGGCCTCCCTTGCAGCTATGTGCCACCGTGTGACGAGGTTTGATGAATGGCCTAGGAGCAGAAGTGACTTACTCCCACATTGCACCTTACAAGGAGCGTGCCCTCCCTTTCCTGTTGCTCATTTCATGACACCTGTGATAACGAGGTGGTGATAGGAGCAGGAGGGGCCTTCTCAAGTTCAAGATGGCAGCCCGGCCGGCATGGCTCAGTGGTTGAGTATCGACCTTGAATCAGGAGGTCATGGTTGGATTCCCGGTCAGGGTACCTGCCCAGGTTGCAGGCTCGATCTCCAGTAGAGTTCAGGCAGGAGGCAGCCAATCAATGATTCTCTCTCATCATTGATGGTTCAATCTTTCTCCCCCTCCCTTCCTGTCTGAAAACCAATAAAAATATATATTTTTTTTAAATACACATGGCAGAGCCACAGAGTAAAGGGTCCCAAGTCTCCAGCACCATGGAGGCCCTATAACTGCCCTGCAGCATTAAGTGAGAGACAAACCACTCTCCATCGTTTAAAAACTCTTCCTAAACACCACTGTATATTTTCTATATGAATGTACATCCTATATAATAAAAGGGCAATATGCAAATTGGCCTTAAGGACGGGAATGGCAAGTCGCTATGATGTGCACTGACCACCAGGGTGCAGACAATGCAGGAGCAGCCCCCTGGTGGTCAGTGCACTTCCTCAGGGGAAGCTCCACTCAGCCACAAGCCGGGCTGATCGTCCCGCCTCCTCGGCAGCGCTGAGGATGTCCGGCTGAGGCTTAGCCCGCTCCCTGTGGGGGGAGAGTCTAGGTCAACAGTTGGACGTCCATCCTAGGAAGGACCCTCTCCTTATCTCCAGACACCTGGGCCTGCACTGACAGCGCCAGTCCCATCTCAGATCTCAGCCTTAACACGCCACCCATAGATTCTGCAAAAATAGTTTATCATAAAAATTAACAGGACAGGAAACCGCTTTCTGCAGAATGGGAAAAACCCTGGTACGCGGCCCCCATTAGCCAGCAGAGGATGTAGGCTTTGGGCTGCAAGAACCATGGAATCTGGATTTCCGCATTATTTCCAATTTAACTCGAATGCGTAAGTGCCATCATTAAGTGCAATTTAAGGGGACCGTGGGCTTGCTGCCAACAACGCAGCCACTGAAACCCGTGTCCGTGAAACCACCAGGCGCTTATCTGCAACCTGAACACGGCCATGAGGGGACTAGGACCATTTCACCATGAGCCTGGTTCTTCCTGAGGCCATCAGATCTCCAACCGGCAAGAGATCGTATCTCCAGTATCAGAGTACTAACTGACGAGCTAAAAAAATAACGGGAAAATAAGAATACCGCGTTATGTAGCGTTTAGGCTGTGTGCGACAGTGGCTTTTAAAAAATAATAATAAAAGGAGCTGTGAAAAAGCATCCTTCTCAAAAGAAAAAAAATCTCAAAACCATGCAGACGTCAAAACGAAGAAATAGGAGTGACCCAGGGAAGTAGAAAGAGGGCAACACTGAGAACCTAACACGAGAGGAGCCCAAGTACACAGAGGCCAGGCAGCAACAGGAATGCTGGGAAAAACCCCCGGGGAGGCCACGTGGTCCACCCCCAGGCTCATCCTCCAGCCTCCCCGGGTCAGCCCCACCCCTCACCCACCTCCCATCTGGCCAAGAGGCCGACATGCTTCAGACCTGTTTCCTAATTCCTTCCACAGCAGCCCTGCTCCTCCTGTTTGTGCGAGGGCCTGCTTAGGCCTCCGCAGTCAGTGGAACAGGCATCGTGTTTTCATGAAGAAGTTGAGTTTTCCTGTAAGGCTATGGCTTCACTGTGTGAGAATAGCGCCAGCGAACAGTGCGTGGCAAGATTAAGACAGTCTGTTCCTCCACCGCCACTGTAACAGCTGACAACTTCTTCGTGGCCGTCATTTCCAATGGGAAGATCATGAAGTGTTTTGACCCAAAAACAGAGATGGATGTAAGCTAGTTCCAGTATTATCTAAGGTAACTATGTTATCCTTGAATTATGTAACTTCTATTAACTGGATTTTACCACGGGTCATTTCGGGAATGCTGAATATTATAGCTGTAGCCTAGCTCCTCAGCCTGAATAGGCAATGTTTTTAAATTTATTCTTATTGTAGGCAGTAGTACAGATGTCCCCCTGCACCCAGCCCCCACCTTACCCCAGGCCTTCACCCCACTATTGTCTGTGTCCATGGGTTTTGCATAGCCTATATAATAAAAGGCTAATATGCAAATTGACCCACCAGCAGAACGACAGGTCGCTATGACATGCACTGACCACCAGGGGCTTCAACGCAGGAGCTTCCCCGAGTGGTCAGTGCACTCCCACAGAGGGAGCACCGCTCAGCCAGAAACCTGGCTCACAGCTGGGGAGCGGGCCTACGCTGGGATACTCTTGTGTAGAAGCTGTGCTATTCCCGTGTAGAAGCTGTGATATTCCCATGTAGGTGGTGTGATATTCCCGTGTAGAAGCTGTGATATTCCCATGTAGGTGGTGTGATATTCCCGTGTAGAAGCTGTGGTGTTTATATGTAGAAGCTGTGATACTCCCATGTAGAATCTGTGACACTCCGGATAGAAGCTGATACTCCTGTGTAGAAGCCGTGATGTTCCTATGGAGAAGCTGTGATGTTCCCGTGCAGAAGCTGTGATATTCGTGCAGAGCGAGCATGCACGTGATGGAACAAAAGGGAGCTGTGTGGTTTAAAATGTCCCTGCACCTGCCTTGCAGGAGCCCTTCCCAATAAGGAGCCCCGCCCACATCTCCTTAAGGGCAAAGTGTGTGAGGCCGCAGAGGGTGGTCTCCCCCGCTCTCTCCGGGACCTACTCCGAGGCAGGCCTGCACCCGCCATGGGGACAGGGCCCTGGCAGATCAGAGCCCCGCCCTGCCCCACCCCTCCATGGCCAGCAGCACCTGGGCCGGGGGTGAGGAGGCCCACAGCCGTGCCTCCCTACATAATAATCTGCCTGGATTAAGCCAGCAGAGGCTGGGCCCGGGTTGAAGTCTGAAGTTCAACAGCAAGAGAGACGCTGATCCCGGCTGCGACCTGAGCTGCTCCTGGGTGTCTGACGTGGACACGGGGACGGAGCACGTTTAACCCACGGAGTGTGGGCAGCTCACTCTGCAGAAATAGCTAACCAGCCAGTAAGCCCAGAGAAGACCCACAGACACAGAGGTACGGAAAGATATTAATGCCGAGGGGCAGAAATAACAAAGGGTTTTGAAGCAACTACCCACCATTTAAAGGGGGGGAAAGGGGGAATCATCCCAGAAAGATAACTTCCACATAACTCAAAGATAAATGTAAAATTAAAAATATAAAAGGAGCCCAGATGGCGTGGCTCAGTGGTTGAGCATCAACCCATGAACCAGGAGGTCACGATTCGATGCTAATCACAGAAAGAGGTCAGGTGAGGAAGAAAAGGAGCCAAAATGATGCCAGCTGTGTTTAATGGCAGCCAAAGGATTCTCCTTTATCCTACACGTTCCCGTATTGTGTAAATTCTCCATGCTGGGTATATATTATCGTCAGATTAGCATCAGTTTTCGTCTGCTACGACAAATATTTCTTAAATACAAATTAGCTCAGCCCAAGCTGGCTTGCTCAGTGGTTAGAGCATTGGCACGTAGACAGAAGAGTGCTGCTAAGCACACAGGCGCTAACCCAACAGGGTTAGGCTGGTGGTTTAATTTTACTGGTACAGGAGCTTGCATCGTACCACGTACGGTGCTGACAAGACAGTTTGGTTTCATGGTGTCAGATTCCATCCCATTAAACGCCAATCAAGAGCAGGGCAGGCCACCACTAGCCAGTTTGGCTCAGAGAATAGAGTGTCGGCCTGCAGACTGAAGGGTCCGAGGTTCGATCCCAGCCAAGGGCACATGACCGGGCTGTGGGTTCGATCCCCAGTACAGTGTGTGCAGCCAATCAATGACTCTCTCTTATCATCAATGTTTCTATCTCTCCCTCTCCCTTCCTCTCTACATCAATAAAAAAAATATATTTAAAAAAAAGAGAGAGAGAGAGAGAGAGAGAGCAGAGCAGGCCCTCTGAGAGCCAGCACTGTCCCTCCCTAAGCCCAGACGGCTCCCCTGCTCGAGGCCACACCCCTTCCCCGGTGTGAAATCAGAAAACTGCGATTCAAGGCCTGGCTCTGCCCATGGCGAGGCGACTGACTTCCATTCGTGTAGCCCGCGGCCGGCAGACTCCTCAGTCCACAGAGCCAGGGCTCAATGACGGCGACTGACATGCCTTTGGAGAGCCGAATGCTTTTTGTTTGTTTTTTGTTTGTTTGTTTGTTTTTGTTTTTAAATATATTTTATTGATTTTTTTATAGAGAGGAAGAGAGAGGGATAGAGAGTTAGAAACATCGATGAGAATCATTCATCAGCTGCCTCTTGCACACCCCCTACTGGGATTGTGCCCGCAACCAAGGTACATGCCCGTGACCGGAATTGAACCTGGGACCTTTCAGTCCGCAGACTGACACTCTATCCCCTGAGCCAAACCGGTTTTGGCAGAGAGCCAAATGTTTTAAACTTAAACTTCTCCTAACGCCACTTCTTCGACATAGACTCGCCCAGGCCG